GTCGTAATTAATCGTCGCGTGAGTCTGCCTGGCGGTCTGAGGCGCCCGCTCCGGTGGGTTGCCCTGCCGCCCCCGCCCCCGCCCCCGCCGCCGGCCGCGTCTCGGGCTACTTGCAATCAGTATCGGGTCAGCGGCGCGTCGGCGGTGACGACATTCCAGCGGGGGTGTCGTATCGTGTGAGCGTTAGCTGTGATTAGTTGCGGGCACGGCGCGCCGGCCAGCGCGCTGCCCTCCCGGCCGTGTGCTCTGTTTGTGTGCGTGGGTGTTGTTATTGGAAGAGTCAACGGGCGTGAAGTCTTACTATAAATTATATCCCGTGTGAATGCTTTGCGCCTCCTATTTGTGTGTGTATGTGTGTGCGTGTCTTTCATTTGGGGCATCGCCTTTCGACCCGTACCTCCGTGCTTTTTCAACGTCCCCTTTTCCACCGTCGGTAACTACCCCGGCTGCCGCTGCTGCGCGGTGGCGCCATCATCGCGCGCGCGTCTGCGTCTGTCTATGAGGAGAATTGGTTGTTCAATATAAAATAAAGTATATGATTAACCAGTTTGATCAGTGATATAACCAACACCGGAGCTTCACGTAGCATGCTTACTGACCACCAAAGCCGTGAACAATTTAACATGATCTTTATTGTGAACAATTCTACATTGATCGGCCTATTGAGTTACCTGGCCTGAGCAAGATCGAACGATCTTGCTGACCTGGTCATCAGCAAGATCGAGGCCAACGGAATTGCAAGTTGTATGACAGATTTCCCTGGACTCGAACCCTGGTCGAATGCTAAAAATCGAACCATACTTCGGAAGATGTAAGGAACTGCGTAAAGTCCCTCCTCCCCAGTCAACAAAATTTTGGAAAATAGCCAAGTCGAGCGCTACGAAAGAAGAGCTTCGTGGTTGCTCTTGCTTTTCAGCTACACCCACACACAATGGCTTAGGAAAACAACTGTCGCCATTTCATCTAATGCACGTGCGTGATAATGTTTTGTCTTGGTTTTGTCTTTTGTCCATTTTTCCAGATCTCAAACATCTGGGAGACTATAATAAGAGTTCTATCGGCTATAGTATATACGGCCTGAGTTATATAGCCTTGGAGGCTATAAAAGTGCCGTTCCAGATTACGAAGGTCAATCCAAGTTCGTATATTATGAATCTATTATATCGGTCAACGAAATAAGAGGTGTGCTTAATTGATGGTTGATTACTTGACCGTGTTATATCCAGACGTCTCATTGTCAGCTATCTAAAAATATTGTTTGCCATGCTGCACTATGAACCCTGAGACCGCCACCATTGTCCTAGCCGTTTAAAAATTCAAGTCTTATCAGTGCTAGAATTTCGTAAGTTATGTCTTCATACAGCACATATACAGGGGGAGCATCAAGTTTTGATCGAAGTGGTCGCTTCGAAAGAGAAAGGTCGGAATATCCCAATACAGCAAAGGAAGAACAAAACAGAAGTGGAAAGCATGCGGTAAAAAAGCAGCGTTCAAAGCAAGACACATGGAAGGGCATATTTGTGGTGACTCAATTTTGGGTCATTTGCTTCGCATCAGTTGCATTCTTAGCGGTAGCCACCGCAAGCTTAGCAAAACTTTCTGACCGCCAGATACTTGAAACCAAAGACAGAGTGCCCCAACTTCATACGTGGTTCAAAGTTGCGATATGCTTCCGGCCATTCATGACCGATACATATTTAAAAACTTTGTTTGAGGCGAAATTCAACAAAAACTTTGAAGAACACATCAAAAGCCTGAATATCTCAGATGAAGAGAAGAATCCATTCTTTGAGGATTTCTACTTAGACAACACATTGGAGCCGAAACTCTATCAAAGCTACTTCCGCCACGTACATCCATGGAAAGATGTGTCACCCAATGTTTTATGGGAAGCTCAAAAGTACATCCTTCAAGTAGCCTTTGCGGAATTCCTCATCGATGGCATCCCTATGGGAAAACCAAAACTGGATGTCAATGTAGGCATGACCGAAAACGACATGAAAATATATGCCTGGCTACCATCCCCACAAAAGACAAATGCGACAGGCGACCAGCCACCCCTGGTCGGTGAGCTTATATTGAGTCCAATCTATCTGGGATGTGCCATTTTTACACTGAATAAGGAAATGGCAAAAAAGCAAGTGTTTTTCAGCGTGAAATTTAGACCAGCGTTTTCGATGGTAACCACAGGGAAGGCTGTCGACTTAGGGCATGTGATTGTTTCCCGATACAAGGCCGCAGACGTATTTGTGCTCAATAAAGACGAACCATTCACAGAAATTTCAACTATCAAGCAAAATGCTAAATTTAGTGTTGATGCCTTTTCGCGTGAACGCCTTCTGGTAAAGAAATCAATGTTTATAAGACAAAGGAGCAAGAAAAGAAATTGCGAAGTAAGCGAGACCAACTCTGAAATGGCATGCCGCAAGCATTGCGTCTACAAGGGACTGTTGGATGAAATCAACTGTACCCTCCCGTGGATGGAGCGGTTCCGAGAAGAGCCCCAACTGTTGGCACAGTTTGCGAGTCTGCCGAAGTGCAGTGATTTGGACCCAACTATGATGCTTGAAGCAAGCACGGCTCAAGAAGCATTTATGAGCAACATTAAAATCAGGCAAAAACTAAAAGTTCAAAGCTGTCTGCAAAACTGCTTGGAGTCGTGTCACTCCTCAAGGGTACGTACTAATTGTTATGTCCGTCAAAATTACTCACGTTCAGTCCAGATTCGCCCCGTATGGTATGACGTTCTATGGGCTACCAAAAGATGTGTTTTCTTCTATGCCTATCCGTATATTCGAAATCTGTACAAGCTTTTGACATGATCCACCAATGACCTTAGGCCGTGCGGTGATATTTATAGGTAAAACGGATAATGGGGCATGTCTTTCAGATCCGGACGAGTTTTGTGCCGTTTTCAGCGTTCTAGCTCAACTGGTTTGGTCACAATCTTTCGCGCAGATTTGAGGCTCCTAACCTTTGTTGACCTCTCTGGGTCAAACAGTGGGGAGAGCCCACAAATAGTTACGGCAGGCGGCGACTAATTTATATACCTTAACGCTACATGTGACCGTACAACTTTACTTAACGTACTTACTTACTTACTTACTTACGTACTTACTTACTTACTTTACTTACGTAACGTACGTACTTAACGGTAGTATTGGCAGATATCCTTAGCTCAGTCGGCGGAGAGGGGATGGACACGGGGCGCGTGCTCACACCGCCGGTCGGGGGACGCTGTTCCAGGTACGCATCCTCTCCCTGGGCAGCAAGTCGATCGGCACCAACTACGGCATCTCTCTGACCATCTCGCCGATCGTGGACGTGGTGAAGGAGCACTTCAACTACAACTTCACCAACATGGTGTCGGAGCTGTGCGCCTCCGTCAGCTTCCTGCTCGGACTGTCCGCCATAGCCATCTACGACTGGCTGGTGGCGTTCGGCGTGTGGCTGGCCGTCCGGCTGGGACTGAGGAAACCCGACGAGGCGGAGGCGGAGGGCGCCAAGGAGGACGCGACGGTTGCCGAGACGACGGCCGAGCAGGGCGCCGACCCGGCCGCCGCCGCCGCGGGCCCGGCCGCACAGACGACAGAGACCGGCGACAGCGCGGATGGCGTCCAAAAGCGCCGCGTCAGTGTGCAGCTGCCCGGCGAGACGACAGGAAACGCAGCAGGTTCTGCTGTTTGAATGTGTGGCGTGTGAGTGGGTGACAGGGAAGGTTTGGTGACCTCCCGCTGTTCGTTCGTCGGGTGTGGTTCACTTTATCGGAGCAGTGTTGAGAAAGGGAACGTTTTAAACGGACGTGCGAATTGTATATGTACAATGTTGGCATTAGCGTTGCTGTTTGTGGTATGAATGGAGCGTGGGTTTTTGTTCCAGTGATCGTCGGCTCTTGTTCTATAGAGTGTTGCTTTGTGTGTCTCTGATCCATTCGTTTCTACAATTGCTAGGTGGTATAGGACCGAAGACGTGTCATTTCTGTTTGAATTTGACGGTATGCCAATAAAAGTTGGTGTATGTTTTGCGACTGCTTTGCAATCCTTCGCCACTGGTCATATTTCAATCTTCGATCAACGATCATGCTGTCTGAAATTGTGACATTTATCCGTACCTAATAATCACCCAACACGCTGGCTAGGTTCCATTGCATTTCAACATTCGGTCACTCTGCCAGTTTGCTGTGCTCCATTTTACGTGAAGGCAAGGCCATATATGGGCGTGAACCTGAACGTGAAGCTAACGTGTCGATAAAAAGGCCCATCTCGAGAATACTTGGGAAAAGCTTCTCGCGTCTGAGGCAGCCGCCCGCCTCCAGTCACCCCCTTTTCTGATCGAGGTAGCGCGGCACAGTCTAACTTCAGGCGTTTGTTACTAGGGACATCTAGCGGCGCGACGGTAAGCACAAGCTTTGGTGCGTCTCTTAGGTGGCTGAAGGAGCCTTCGGCGGTCACACCCGCTGGCTCGTGCGTTTGCGTTATTAGGAAAGCAAGGAAAATGAGAGAAAAGAACTACTAAACAATTATATAAGATACGACACTAAAGATAACATCAACACCCAATCCCCATCGATCTCGCATCGCCATAAAATCCCGCAGATCCCTTCAGCCATCTTCAGCTATGTAACTATTAGTTTTGGATTTAGTCGCTAGGTGGCACTATCCATCACTATTCTCCACTGCGCTGATGACACTGAAGGCTGAGTCAGGTTGGTCAGGGCTGAGGGAGATGTGTCTTGTTTGTAGATTGCAGGTACTCGAAGATGTGTATCGGAGGAAGCAGAATTTGGAAAACGCTGAATGATAATTGTTTCTGGTGGAAGATCCTAGGAGTAGCCGAGGCTGGGAGTGGGAAATGACCGAGGGCGTAGGGCCAAATAGGGCAAGTTAGCATTCAGAGGGCTACGAACGGTACGCCCCGGAATCACGAGAGATGCGACAGGAGGTCGGAGCTCGTCATTATCTCACGCTTACATTCACCATGATGGGCGCAAAACAACCAGATTGTAGCGCCTGGCTATGAGTTGATGTATTGAATACAAAGACACGTTCCAACTGAGAGTCTCAAAAGCACGGAATGCGATGAGGTCGCGACGATAACCGAGTTTTGTAAAAAAAAAAATCGCTTTGATTGGTGTCGTGACTAATGCGTGTAGCACCGTTCAGTGATGAGAGGGCCAATGCAACACGTAGGTACCTACCTATTTGCCACGCAAAACTTTATCCAGCTTAGGTGCTACTGTTGGGATTCGAAATGCTCATCATGGGTTATTTGCATGTATTCTGATGAGGAAACTTGCCATTTTTCTCTGTGCACCTATAATTTGCATTGTTTCGATAACCGCTGCCTGATGGCCGTCACATCTATATTTGCTGTTGAGCCAGCGCCGCTCAGTGCCGACCACCGTGCGCCGGCTCCGTGTGCCCGGCTCCCGTACCGTCCGGCGCACAGCCCCGCTCGGCGCCCCGGCCTGAACCTCTCCCCGCGCGGCCCCCTGCTCACATGTACTCGCTGTCGTCAAAGAAGTAGCACATCTGGAAGGTGGAGCCGCGCGCGGCGGTGAAGTAGGCCGGGTAGTTGTAGATGAGCGCCGCCTGCTCGGTCGCCTCGCTGGGGAACACGGCCTCGCTGCGGCGCGCCTCAGCCACCAGGAAGTTGGCCAGGTACTGGGAGGCCTCCACGGCGTCGGCCCAGTGCGGCACCTGGTCCACCCGCTCCAGCGTGGACCACTCGAAGGCGGCCTTCTCCGGGTGGAACTGGACGCCGTAGATGGGCAGCTGGCGGTGCTCCACGATCGAGACGTACGGCACGCCCTGGCGGTCGGTGTTGGTGGCCAGCGTGCGGAACTCCTCCGCCAGCCGCGAGAAGCTCTCCGGGGAGACGCAGTTCGAGTGGAACATGACCACGTTCGGCTCGACCGTGAACAGCGCCAGCTGCTCGGCGGTGGCGTTGGCGAACAGCCTGCTCTCGAGCAGCGCCGGCTCGGGGCTCACGGCCACCAGCTGGTTCTCGGCGTCACAGGCCTCGATCACCTCCGCGCCGCCGGCCAGGAACGCCAGCTCCTCGTGGCCCTGGCACGTGCCCCAGATGGGGAAGTGCACCTCCGGGTGCGCGTGCGCCAGGTCCCAGAACGCCCGCGAGGCGGCGCCGAAGCCCTCAGAGTCCAGCTGGCTATTGCCTCCGGGCAGCAGCAGGCCGTTGAGTTGATAAAACATGTCCTCGTAGTACTTCTGCGAGCGGTGGATGAAGACGGGCGCGGCGCGCGCGCCGGCCGACTCCACGAACTGTACGTAGGACGCCTGCACGTAGCTGGTGTAGTTGAGCTCCGGGAACAGGTCGTCGATGTCGGGAGTCGTCTCCTGCGCCAGGATGCCGATGATAGGCCGGTCGTTGGCCGAGACGGACAGCGCGGCCGCGGAGAGCACCAACAGCAGTGAGGGAGACATAGCTGTGTGTTTTCCTGGTCGACGGGTAGGTACGGAGGGGATCGGCAGCCGGTGCGGTAGAGACGGACGGAGGTCACGGAGAGCGGGGCAGACAGAGGAGGAGCGGTACCAGCCACGCGAGCGGTCAGCGCGCGCGGCACGGCGGATCGGCTAGAAGTGCCACTGCCACGGTAAGGGTACCCTGCTCGTGCCCTCGTACGCCGCCGTGGGAACGTCTCCAGACGCGCCGGAACGGCCCGATAGCGGCGCGGCCTACAGCTCCGAACAGCGCGCAGTCATCACAGCTTTGTGTCGGCCAACTTCAAGGACGGCCTCTGACACTGGAACACTTGCGGACGCGGTCACACGGGATCGGAGGAGGTGTCGAAAAGCTAGCTCTTCATTGTGCTTTGTATGCGCTTCGTTCCGGTTCGTTTTTGCACCAACTCATTTTATAGACGTGTTATAGGACCTATCTTCCCATTATCGATTGCCTTTCGAGGCCGATGACGTCAGCAGACAATACAGCTCGGTGAATTCGGTGCTGACTTGTTGATTTTGTTTATAGCACTTATCGTTCGTTTTTATCGCATCTGTAACTTCTGACACGAACAAGGCTTTAAAATTTGAGCCATCAACTTAAAGATTCGCTTTGCAATTCTTACAGTGTCCCTCAGCCGTAACTGAGGCCAAGAACACGCTAAAACAAGGCGCTGCGTTTCACAAATGGTGTATTACATACGTCATCTAGCGGTCCAGTCCTTTGCTGCTCATTCATTTTTCGGTTCATTTTATTGCTTGATTCACTTGCAGAGATGATTTCCCATACCTCTATGACAGTTGGCATAAAGCCCTTGTTCTTGAAAAATGAAGAAAGGTATAGGCATGTTTATGAGAAGGCATTGCTTTGTTGGTAAATGAACTAAAATATTTAGCAAAAGAGAAGGTAGAACGGTTCCCATAAATCTTAAAAATGACAATTGTTAATTTCGAAAGAACGCTTTCCACAAATCCAGTATCAATCCAGTCAGATCAGCCCAGTATTACAAACAAGGCCGTATAAGAAAGCACGATCGATAAAATAATACAAATTACATGCACACCACATTCAGATCCTGGAAATCAGGCATCAGTCGGTCCAGTGCAGTGTACGAAATACTACTCACCGACTCAAAGTAGGTAATACGTTATACGTTCAAAGCGAAACATGCAGGGCAAAGTCATTTTGTTATCCTATTTAGTGTTAAACATAAACAGGCTTAAACCGCTGTAATAAAAACAAAACCCGTTTAAGCTTATTCTGACAGCTTACGTAATTTTTGCACCTGAAATTGGACATGTTGCATGCGCAATGCGCATGTAGGGATATACGTTTACGGAGCCCACGGACGGAAGTTTCACACTAAATCCACCTTGCAGCTATGTATCCGGGTGGTCCTTTTAGCCAGGGGCGTGGGTTCCGGCTGAGTCCAACACACCAACTCTCGAAACCCGTCTGAGCGAACTGCTGAGCTTCTCAGAATGCGGAGTTTCAGGGCAGAAACACAGAGTTCGCTGTAGTCGCTGACACGAGTTTATGGACAAGCTGAGTTGGTTCGAGCTGCTCGATGGGTTGCCCCCTCCGGTTGCCGAGTTTTTGATGTTTGAAGCATGAGGATAGAAATTGGCGAATGCTTCCCAGAAGTCAGACGATTTTAGATTGAATCTTTATGAGGTAATATAGAACACGTATTATTTTTTCTCCTTTATCATGGTTGCAGATGCATTATCGTAAATTTTATGTTTACGTATTTATTTTCAATAATCCGAAATAAAAGATAAAAGTTACAAAAAATGCTGGCATATTACTAGGGATTGATATTTTATAATGAAGCGAAAGAGGCTTTTTTACAGATGCGTAAAATTTCTAACAATGACTGATGGGCCTCATTCCAGCCGGGCTCCGCGCGATGACCGATGACCGTCTCGGTCGGCGGGGGTTACGAGACTGCGGCCGCAGACGGCGGCGCGGGCCGCCGCCAGCCCTGTACCATATAAGGCAACGCCGTGACGCCGCCGCCGCCGTAGTGAGGTGACGTAGCCGTCCGGCGCTGATTGGTCGGTCCGCCGGCCGTGTGTGACGTCACCGGCGGTCGATTGGCGGCCGGCGGCGGTGCACGTGAGCCCCGCTCGGCCGGCGCCGGACCGCATTCGGGCTGTTGTGGTCGTGGAGTGTGGAGCTGACGGAGCCCCGGTGCGGAGTCGGGCGGCGTGGCGTGCCTTCTGCTCGGGACCTGCTGTAGCGGCGCCGGGTGGCGACCGTCGAGTGTGCTGACCCGTCGTGACCCACGGTGACCTTTGGTGACCTGCCGTGGCCGTGAGCGGTGCTCTGTGTGCGGCTGGTGCCGGCCCCGGCCGGGGGATGTCCGCCGCTGTCTGAGCGTGCAGTGCCGCCGTGCGGGATGTTGCGAGTTTGAGGCGTGTGACCCGACCTCGGTCCGCCCCGACCCGGTCCGTGAGCGTGCAGTGTCAGTGAGCGCGAGACTCACCCGGAGCAGCAGCCATGGATGTGTACCCGAGCGGCAACATCTTCCAGGAGCTGAAGCTGGTGCTGGACAAGGGCTGCTTCCTCTCGTCGTGCTCGCTGGAAGAGCGCTGGCAACAGGTGGGTCACGCACACAGCCGGCCGGCTCCGAGCCGTGACCCCGCCGGGCCTGCAGGCTGCGGCGCGCGGCACGGTGGGGGGCAGGTCCCGGAGATGACGATCGTCGATCCTGCCACTAACATTGCATGCAAGTTGTTCTCTAAGTCTTCAAAACAGTATCTTAAGAGTAACTGTTCTCAATTCTAGAAAAATGATACCTACATTGTGGTTTATGAAATTAACAATTTTTCATTCATTTCTTTCCGTTACCAAGACCTCGGTGACTTACATTGGGCTCGCTCACAAGAAACGTCCAGCTTGACTGAAGTCCCGATAGATCGTATTTACATGCGTCCGGTCAACTTTGACTCCTGACAAGTCCAGTGCGGCCTGTCTGAGATTAGATGCATTCTCCGAATTCAGCCCAAATACCGGAAATAGGCCCCGCTTGGCACTGACATTCGACAAATGGCGTTTCCGTCCGATTCCTTCGGGACCAGAATCCTTGAATTTGTTCGCCGAGATTTGATCTCGTCAAGCTGCCTCGATTCAGGTTTTATTCATTCATCCGCGCCGCATACCTTTGTCGATTGTTGCCGCTCTGTTCATTAGCACTTCTGCTGCAGTGTGCTCGAAAAGAAACCCGAAACAGGGCTCCGGAACGTGTTCAGGCACCTTGAAACGTGAAACACCTTCGATCGACTCGGGAATCGATTCCAGTCGGTTCCGTTAGCGATCTTATGCAGGGCGGCTCTCCACTTGTCGAACGCGGAGTCATGTGACCATCGATATGCATTGATAGCCAATCGAGCTATGCACGTGTGGTAATAACAACGATATAAAAACGTGGACTTTGTCACGTGCCGCTACATAGTTCAACAAGCTCCCTCATATCGGTGTTTGATCGGTGTTGAGCAATGCGCTGAACTCGATGCTCGTCAGCTGTTTTTCGAGCGGATCCCGTAGCTGATGACTACCTTGTTTGACTCCTCGACCAACTCTGAGAAGTATAGGTACACCTAATCTCATTGACCTCAGCACACGTTGACAGTTTCCAGCGTGAGACGTCACAGCGCTCACGAGTGCCCGGGTGACAACTCACGGTTTGCCCGAGATAACGGTCCTCACCACTCCGGTTGGACGTGACGTGCGTCAGTTCCGCGAACTCCGAGACCTTCGCCGCTCTCCGAAACGCGTCCGGCTCCTCCGGCCGTCCACTATGAGCTGATCTATTGTGTTCGGTTCCGTGCCTCCGAGCGGGCACCACACCGTCGACTCACGCCGAGTCACGGCTCTGAGTCACCGTCTGTGGACCGGGCCGTGACCCTGTCGTACACAGATGGAGCGATGGCGCTCCGTCTGAATTACGGGACCCGGCCGGCCACCCGGTGGCGCAGAGAACGGGACCTTGGTGCAGGCGCGGGTTGCTGAGCCGCGCTGCGGGAGCGGGTCCCTCTGAGTCACCCCCGGCTGTGCACCATGCGCTGTGCACTGTTTGTGGTGTGCACACAGTGCACTGTGCACGAGGTGGCGCCGTGTCGCTACTGCGACGAGTGCAAACACTCCGCACTAGGGTATAGCAAGGTTCGACGATAAGCAAAAAATAAAGATAAAATAAAATAAATTACATTGTAAATAAAATTTCATCGATGAAATGCATCATTTCAATCATAAACCAAAAACATCTTGCATGAAACGCAGCTCTAAAGTGGATTGAGCCGAATTCGGCCGCTTTCTGCCATTCCAACTTTTCTCCAAACTTCCTGTGGTGATGGCTCCTAACTCTGCGGGCGCTCTTCAAGGAGCTGTTCGCCTCGTGTCGGCTTCCGCTGCCAAGAGCTGGCGATCCACCGGCAGCGTTGATAAAAAACTGGTCCAAGTTGTTAGCGGGACGGTGCCCGAGTCGTTGGCCGGGGATTTGTTGTGGCCCTCGTGCTACACCCTTCACGGGAACTGGGGCATTTTTCACGAACGTAAAGCTGAGGCATCATGGGTAGCTGATAGAAGGGACAACATACCACAAAGCGGGCGAAGTTTGGTTGGTGCGGTAACAAATTTGGAGTCACCTCGAGGGGCCCGTTGGCTCAGCTGACGGTATCTACCAAACAATGCGGCCTTCCCCAGCGTGGACCAGAAAAATCGGACAGCGGCGTACGGTGGACTCAGCCCGCCCGTTCCCGTCATTGGCTTTCCTCAAGGCCCTGGCGCATTGTCCATCAGCACTTTCCACGGCGGACTGACCGGCCGGACCGCCGCGCCGCGCACCGTTCCAGTTTTCAAACGGAGCACGTGGTGGGGTTCCCGCCATTTTCGGCCGGATCGTCCGTTCCGGTTGGTGAGCGCGCGAAGGGTCCAACTGCGGACGTGGACGGCGCGTCGCGAGCCGGCCCTGAACTTCCATGAGCCAGAGGTCGTCAAATTTGTCGGCGGAACGGGCCGCTGCACTTCTGAGGTAGTTCGTCAGCGACGGTCCGGCATGGCTCGGATGACGGCGTCATCGACCGTGGAGAGACCGGATGGCGGCCGGTTTGAGGGCCTCTGACGGTGGGAAGTGGTTGCGCCGCCTGACCTTGGCGTCGCGGCGCGCGGGGAGGGAAAGTGTGGGGTGCCCGCCGGCGGACACGGCGGAGCGGAGCGGGCCGCTGCACCGCGGGGCACCGACCGGGCGCCTCGCACTGTCCACAGGAGAAGGACATAATGGGGGCACGGCTAGACAGCGGCGAGGGGTGATGGGCGCTTCCGTGGGCCAGACGGTGTTCATTGCTCACCGTGGTGCCGAAACGATCCAAAACAAAGTAATTCGCTCGCATGCAAAACAAACCAATTCTCATAATAAGTGGGGCGATTTGAACGGTGTCCGACACCCACCGAGTGTCAGCTTCACTCCAGTCCGAGTCAGAATCACACATCACCTCATCTAGCTCCGGTCGCCTGTTCATTGACCTCTCGCTCGACCTTCCCTCATCCCCATGGACATCCGGCATTCCTCGAACAGTCAACAAGTCGTCGGACATTCCCTCTGTGGGATGACGCTTCCGATCGCTAGATAGGAGACTGTCTGACCGCCCAACGGCCTCGCCGCACTATTTATCCTGTCACACAAGAAGCCCCTTCCCTCACACACGAACCCCTCCCTCCACTCACGCACTCTTCTCTTCCCTGACGCACATAAGGCACCTCTCCTTGGCGCACCTGAGAGACATCACCTGAGGCAGCTCCCTTCCCTGGGTATAAACAACACCAACGCGGACCGTCACCTTTAGATGCTATCTACCCGCCACCTCTCAGGGTCTGCTGACGTCTCCCCAGGGCCGTCCGTCACCTCCTGAAGGGCGTCCATCACCTCCCCGGCCCCCTCCGGGGTGGTCCGTACCCCGAGAGACGCGTGACGAACAGGATCAGCGGCGCGCAATTCGTATCCATCCAGCTGGAAGTCAACAAATCGCGCCAGACGAATGCCTGACGAGTAGCAGCACATTAATCTGCACGCTATAGCAAAACGAAAGGCGGATCTATAAGCCGTCTGTGAATCCCAGAGCTTCAGTACGAGTGGCACGCAGCCAGCAGCGCCCTTGGTTTGTGATACCTCATTCGACTTGCCCGGTCAACACCGCGCGTCATTTCTTGCGTTGGTATAAGCCGATTACATCGAGGATGCGACCGGAACGTTGCGAGCCAAGCGAGAAGACCGCTCTGTGTGCCGTGGGCTGGCCCACCTGCGAGGGATGTTTCTCTCATAGGTTTTCGGCTTAAGTCAGAGTCGCCCGGCCGGCGCTAGGAGTATTGTATATGTCCGGATTGGTGGATTGTCAAAGGAATGACCGAATGACTTGCCACTGATCGGGCGCCAATCCAGAGTCATTGTCGTTTGTCGTTTTGTCTTATGCAGCTGGCTCGGTCAGTTAGAAAGCTGGGACACTGGCAGCGTGTCGGCGCGGCTGGCGTATTATGTCAGTTCTCTGAGGATTCGGCGAGACGGTGGCGCGCGCCCGACCCCCGCCGCTGGCGTCGCAAAAAGCGCGCCAAAACACGCGTCTCCGGGGGCCGGAGTGACGGCTCAATGGGAGGGGGCGAGCAGCGGCGCGCCGGGCGCCGTTTTTGCCGCGGGCGCGGCAGGGCGTGCCGAGATGGCCGACCCAGATGAGCGCCGCGCCTGGGCGCAGGTCGTCCGAGGGCGGTGGACGGCGGGACAACTCCACCCTCCACCGGCCCACACCGGGTCGCTCCTCCGGGAGTGGTGTGGGAGGGGCGAGGGCTCTCGGATGGCATTGAGCCCCCTCTGGCAGAGATAACGACTTTCCGTACCGCGGTTTACAGGGGGTTTTACGACTCATAACGAATATCAAACTACGGCTAATGATCGTGCTATGAATGACGAAAATACGATGATGAAATGCAAGGCCATAATGATAGGGCTCCTGCCTCCCATCGGCACATTTTATAAGTCCACTTTTAGTAGCAAGCGGTTGACGAATGGATTAGCTCCTACTTCACTTTTAGTAGGAAACGGTTGACGAATGCATGAACTCCCAACCGTCCATTGCAATATTTCATCAAGTTTTTTATCATGCTTAAAAATATGCTCCACGACTCGCGCGGAAGCCGGCATGACATGATCTGGTCTTTCAACATTGCGAAAACATTGTATCCCCGTTGCGGCGGCTGACGTGTTTCCCTGTTTCCGCCCGTTTCCGCCCGTTTCCGCGGCGCGCGGCTCGGCTGCCCCGCAGTGCGGTCTCCGGTCTACGCTGCCGCCCCCTCTCTGACGTCACTCTGCGGTCTGTGGTCCCCGGAAACAGCCGCTCAGCAGCAGAGCGGCCAGACGCTGCGGTCTCCGGCCGCCCCCGCCCCCGCCCGCTGCTCCGGAGCCGGGTGTGATGGAGAACGTGTCTCGTTCGGCCTCATGCAGTGCAGCCACACCGCCGCTATGTCACGGGCACGGCCGAACGTGTCAGACGATGCTGCCTGTGCCAGGGTTGCCACTGAACCTATAGGGGCAATCGATACAGACGCGCCGGGCC